ATCATGGAATATGTACAATGAGGGCCTTGATGTGCTTGCGCATGTTCTGTTTGTTCTTGAGGTGTGAGTGAATGGCATATTTAGTGCCATCACAAAAGAGATTCAGAGTGTATTTGCTACCATCACGTCTTTCAGGCATGTAACCTTGAAGGTTTATATGAATTGTTTGCCAGGGTTATGCGATGTATCTGTGGTTGCGTGTTGGACATGTTTGTTTTATCACAGCACTTAGAAATCATTTGCAGTACGCGGGCATCGAGAGCCAATATCGAGGCAAGAAATAGCATAATTCTGTGATACAAAGGGATCACAAAACTCATATGTACGACAAGTAAGAAGGAAATAAAGACTACTTGGAATCATAGATTTGTGTGTTTTAACAGGTTATAGGCCTATGCTAGTACACACGGTAGATAGCTTTCTATAATTAACACACGGTGACAATTGCATTGACCAGTATCCTAGAGGTAAACACACGAATACGAACACGACTACGCTATACAAAGCAATATCAGCTTTATGCAACACATACTTGAAGAATTCCAAATCAATCAACTGAACACCAATGAATAATCCACACTATCAAAAAGAATCTGCACCCACACCCATGGCAAATACACAACCAGATTAAGCTATAGTACAACCTACCCCTAGTATCACAATCATCGTGTACGTCGACAATCTAGTTGCAATCGGCGAACACAACACTACATCACATTGGTGAGCAATCTGATTGAACTCCTGTTATTTGCCTGAAGGCTTCAACTCAGGCAACGAAGTAATCGCTGTCGCAGTACGCATCTGGTCTGTATGTACAGTTTACAGAACAATAGAAGGATGTAACACTCATCTCAAAAATATCATCCAACGTGTCAACGAATGTGGCATCAAGAAAGGATCACTAACCACACAAGCCGTACGCGGTATAGCACAACTTGACACCATATACACACAATACAACGATACACGACATAAGTAAGATACATCGATAGAACAGTTCGATCCTCTTGGAGAGGAGCTGATCTACTTAGGCCACGAACATACCAAAATTACGCAAAACTCATAGGTCGATACCATGACAAGAATGAAGAACATGAATTACTCCCACGAAAGATGAATGAGCTCGAGGATAAACTAGTTCAGACACAATCTAAACTGTATCTCAAGGAAGAGAACAAACCGTTTAAGCAGGCTTTAGAATCAGAAATAAACAACTTGACAGCCGATCTGTCTCAGGCACATATGGAGATCAAACAACTGCGTGTCTCTGCTGTAACCCATACAAGCAGCAGACAGCAATTGCCGACGTAAACTGATTAATTCTCTCGACAACTCTCAACACAGTTTACAAACCTCATCTATCTAAACCACCACACAAGCTATTTGCACACATTTGCAGACCCAACAACACTGGTAGCAATAGAGGGTTCTGGTCAACACTACACGAACCCACTAGTTTCAAATCTAGCAGATCAACCGAACAATCCATGCAGAAGCTAGAAGAGATACGACAGCGCTCGATAGATATAGGGAAGCAAGTCCCTGAAAAGTACCTTACATATGCACTACTATACAGTTTCTCAGACGAGTATAATGCTCTGTAGCGATATGTTCAAACTTGATACCAGCAAGTTAACAATCGATGAAGCATATACTATGGCACTGAAGTTCGAAGGTGACACTTAGATATAGAAGAGAAGCCTAACGGTGAGCCCAACCGCATCCTTGCATTCCAGTAGAGCAATGACGACAAAGCCAAGAAACCCAAGCCTACCCCTAGACCATGCCCACTTTGCAAAGAAGTAGGACACAACATTTACACCTGTCCAACCTCAATATGTCAACGCGGTTGCGCATCAGACCACATGGGTAGCAAATGCACAGAGGATTGGAATTAGCTGATTTGTACGAAGTGCACTAGGGCAAACCACAGGGGCCAAGCGTGTATGAAGTGAAGGAACGAGGTCCAGGACAAATGTATCACATCAAGTAGTATTGAGCGCCAAAGCCAAGAGATGATTCCGACATGATAGCATAGTTGAGGGGCTGTACAGGGGCGCCAGTCAGTATGAATTAGACAAACCATAGCAATAAATGTGTGTGACGGATGAAGGTATGTTCCTTGTTGCGTATGATGTATGGTTGTAAGTGCAATCGATATGTAACAGTGTTTCACCATCTCACACATGAAGGAACTGTTATAATCATGACGAGTAATGTGTCACATGATGCATTAACTGTTATAAATTCAAAGATATGTTACCATTTAGCATTAGCATAGCGGATATTGTAGTCAATAAATGAACTTTGTGCCAATCGTCGACGACACCTCCGTCTAGGCCAGTAAAGAGCGGTAGTTTTAGGGTTTAGCTAGCATTCACACGTGACTATTGATCTCGATGTCCCGTATACAGCAATCTTGTGTCTGCTAATACACACTTAATCGCAATCGGTAAACTCATCGATGAACTACGTATAGACCGCCAGGAAGTGTACGTCTCTACAACTGCAGCCTTGGCACTTCTGACATTTACTACAAGCGACCTGTACCACGTACGTAAACACAATCAAGATTTACAGACTGAGCTTGACGGTTCAAACGCCATAATGTGCAACTTGGGGAATAACATAATCTACTTTTAGCTAAACACGAAACACTGAACAGAACACGCGCAACTCTCCGACAGTCATACAAAGACTCAATCACGCCTCTAAGAACAAACAGACCAATCGACTGACAAACCCAGTGCTCTTCAGGCTGAGCTCAATTACACGCGCATAGAACTCCAAGAAAAACTCAATATAATCGATCATCTAGAGCGCGCAACCAAGCCGAAACCAGCCACGTATGCCGACAAGTACGGTATCACTGCCGACGATCCTAGTGTTGCGCTTTCAGAGTGACCAAAATACAAAGAGATGTACAAGCGCACTAAATTGGAGAATTGGGAGAATTTCGGACCTTGTATAATAAGACTCAAGATGGAGCTCGCACGTTGTGGTGTTCTTCATCGCCTCCACCCTGCCTCTGACAAGATATGTGGTACCGACGTACTAGTCGATGCACGATGCCGTCGTATTATGATCGACTCCATTCAGGAAGAGCTCATTAACACTGTATACAAGAACCACTACTCTAAGTCGCCTTCCGAATTCTTTACCTATATCTGCATCACAAACAACTCTGGTAGTCACGGACGCTTCTGGGACTGCATGCAACGCCTTTTCAACTTTAAGGCATCAGGTACCACAGAGAAGACCATGCAGGCTTTGGAGGAAATTTTCCTAGGCCTCCTCGATGCTGACGAAGTTATTCCAGATGAATACCTTATCTGTGCTCTACTTTATAGTCTGGTTAACGAATACCAGCTCCTCCGATCCAATGTCTTCGATCTCGACACCGACAAACTCGATGTCAACGAGGTCTATCGCATGCCTCTTAAATTCGAAGATGACCACCAAATTTCCGCATGCAATACTGCCACAGGAATCAACGCGCTCACTACGAAAGATTTGAATGAAGCAAAGGACAAACGTTCACCTCGTGAGATCACATGCCCCTTATGTAAAGACATCGGTCACGGTATCGACTGCTGCTGCAAATCAATCTGCCGCAGATGCGGCTCCAGGGATCACATTGGCAAGAAATGTCTCGTCGACAGTGCGACTCTCACATGTAGCAAGTGTGACAACAAAACAGGCCGAACAACTGAAGATACGGAGCCCTATCCACAGGAACTCATGCTGTACATAGTTTCACAACTCCCCGCCCTGCTACTCCACATGATCTACCTGAGTGCCACTATAAGCTTAATATACTCAATGCTACCTCACAAGGGCCCGCGCAAACGTTACCCTTACTGCTTCACTTATCGACTCCGGAGCAGTGGTTCATATACGTTCCACACAGATGGCGTCAAAGAATTACACACTGGTTGCTTTATCGTAGAGTTCCCTGTTAAGAGTCAAATTATCCTTAATCCCAGGCCTTGGCCCAGTTCTTATTATGCCAACCGCGACTCAAAATATTTTATTCGTACAATTACTACAACGACACAATTATGGCATATATTTCCCGCCGGAACCGAATGCCTCCGTTCCCACCGAGTGTTGCATACTCGATAACAAGTCTTACATCCTATCCCAACCCACAATGGCCAATACACAGCGGCCAGCTTCACAGCCAGCACCATTGAGAACTGACAAGACCGGTTAGGACATCGATCCGACACACCACAAACGCTGTCTCAGAGCAACATCACGCCTACCCCCCTACCCAAGCCTTCGCACGATGACTGGATGTTGAATCCTACTCTCGTTCAAAAACACGTCACTGATGTCTTCGGCGCGATAGACATCGATCTATTTGCGCAGAAACACAATACACAGGTCTCTATCTATTGTAGCCTGGAACAAGATACACCATTGCATGACGCCTTCAAACAGTCATGGAATCAACCAAACACACATCTTCACGGTAATATACTTTTTCGTATCAAAACATGGTGCGAGGCACTTCACAAGCTTGAAAAGGAATATGGCCTTATTACAATGGTCTTTCCACTTCAACCTAACATACACAACTACAACCAGACGAAACTTCAGTTACACTCATACGTAGAAGTCATCAAAACCACCGCCGATACATTCTTGCAATCTGGCACCGAGATTCCCGGACCACCTAAGTGGCGATATATCTGCATTGCTCGAGTGGTCAGTACTATACACACAGTTCCACCAACAACAGAGCTCCTAGACGCCAAGGCCAAATGCACATATCGTCCGCGCGCCACCCCTGTGCCCGCAAATGCGCAGACGTCCAGTGTCACGCAAAACAAAGGACGAGAATACTTTGCCACCAGTTGGAATGTCTTTCATGTTGACCTACACACGGGTTTACCTGCTTTCCCGACTGGCTATGCATACAACATCAAATATGTAGATGCTAATAGCGGACAACCTTTCATCTATCCACTCAACCACAAAGACGATACCAGTGCAACATTAGACCTCTTCTACACTGACATAGGCAAGACTACCTCGCAAATCTCCGAGAACTCAAATGCGATCGTGGTGGAGATTTTGTCTCCAAGGATTTTACCCGTATCAACACACTCCAGCACGTTATCTAGCCTAGGAGAAGACCACATTGAAGTATGCGAATGATAGAATCATTGGCCAATTTAAGTGGAAAAGAATCAGTTTTAAGTGTAAAAAAATTATTCCAGTGCTACTGTCTATAATAGTGCACATGCGGACTAACGGATAAGAAAAGTTGTCTGATTTGTGGTTTTTAGCTTGACAACTGTCGCAAACCAGAGGTCCAGCTGCAATCCTTGTCATATGGCGCTTAGTACCACAGCGACCACAGCCACGCATATACACATTGACAGTACGGTTTGTTGGCCAGTAGATAAAGCACGGTGAGCGTCCGGCTGGTGGACGCGTGCGGGTGCGGTGTGGTAGGTAAAGTGAATGACTGAATTAACCAACCTAGTATTAGGTTTGTTTGTTGAGTCATTTACCTTATTTACTACAAAACTGGAAAGTGTTGCGAGTACTTCGATCTTAGTCCACACGATCCGCTTCTGGGAGGATTTATCTTAACCTTCCCCGTTGGGTGATAGTGCTGGCTTACCACCGGCTGATTCGCTCCTATCACAAAATTTACCCAAGACGAGATTATGACTGAACCACCCAACCTAAACCAACCGACCTGGTACTTGCCATGTCTGCGAGAAACAGCTCTTATTTTTCGGTTTTCCTTCAAGGCGATCAGAATACTTAACGAGTTGCTGAGATGTGGCTTCAGTTGACGAGAGGACTCTCTTTGCTTGACGAGAAGGGCAAAGTGCCGCTACTTTGGGCGCATTGAGAAAGTTAGGATGTTTGGATATTTGCAGTTGAGCAAGAGTAGTCTTGACGCCACGACTAACCAAGAATTGGCAAGTTTATCCCTGCTGCTTAGGCTAGAGACCAATAGGAAAATATCGATATTAAAAATCATCAGTGGAGATAAGAATTCCGCGTCGGGGCGTCTTAGAGCTTGGTGCGACGAGCGGCCTATGTACGCATGTGTTCATCAGCCTCACGTTTAAAAGTAGTATCCAAGATGGGGTAGCTAGGTGCCCTTGGTTGAGGGAGCTTACTACCTCATCAGATAGATATTAAATAATCAGAGATTGCGCCTTAAGGTATTTGCTGTCCTCTCGGTATACAGGAAGGAATATATACTTGCCAAATGGTCCGTGGGAGGGTAGGATGACGGAGCGGAGTCAGAGCATGTAAGAGTTCATTTTCGATCTCTGCTGACACCCGGTGCGAACCTTCCCAGAGGTCAATATTGAGGCCATCCTTGACAAGGACAGTCCAGGACACCGTAACGCCCTTTCTGGTGAGCTGAATACTAGATAAGATAATGTCAATATTATCTAAAATAGGCCCATAACCTAAAGATACCTATGTACGGATTTACTAAAAGACCAAACTCCATTGTTGATACTAGGTAAGGCTTATAATAAATTTATTGGTCCTGTTGTCAATTCAAAGTGGACCATGCTGGTTTTTTGTAAACCAAGCTGGTTTCTTGTAAAACAGGATGTGGGGAAAAACCCATGAGTTGGGGGTTTGGTAGACAGGACTAGGTTTTACTCCGATAGTGACTTGCCAAATGGTCCGTGGGAGGGTAGGATGACAGAGCGGAGTCAGAGCATGTAAGAGTTCATTTTTGATCGCTGCTGACACCCGGTGGGAGGTGGTATCCGATATTTATTCAGATGTTGCTTTCCCAGAGATCAATATTGAAGCCATCCTTGTCAAGGACAGTCCATGACACCGTAGCGCCCTTTGTGGTGAGCTGAATACTAGATAAGATAATGTCAGTATTCTCTAAAATAGGCCCATAACTTAAAGAGACCTATGTACGGAGTTACTCAAAGACCAAACTCCATTGTTGATACTAGGTAAGACTTATAATAAAGCTATTGGTCCTGTTGTCAATTCAAAGTGGACCATACTGGTTTCTTGTAAACCATGCTGATTTCTTGTAAACCATGCCATGAGTTGGGGGTTTGGTAGAAAGGAATAAACTAGGTTTTACTCCGATAGTGAGGCTGTGGCCTGTGAGTGACTGGGTGTGGGCCTGTGCCCTGTGAGCCCGTGAGGCCATGAGCATGTGAGGCCGTGGAATCGTGGACGTGAGGCATGAGGCGTGAGGCTTAAGGCAGGAGAAGCGGACTCTCTCGTGGCCCCGTGTGGGCAACTGGGACCTGGGTATCGAATACGGAATAATCGCAGTCAAACAGCAGCCAGCAGGTCGCAACTCGCAAGTCGCAGCTCGCAAGTCGCAACTCGTGACTGAGTACTGACTCGTCACTTCAGCAGTCGTCACAACGATGCTCATTTTACGTCCTTTTTTAAATTAAAAAAAAGAAGGAACATTGCCAAACGCGGAAATGCCAAATTGCCAATACATACCAGTGATATTTACCACTGATACCAGCTTCTCAGGGCTGTAGCCTGTAAAAGTGTAGGCTTTACGCCGCTGCGGTAGCAAGTAGCCGCCTGTAGGCCGTAGGGAGTGTAGGCTTCGCGGGCGCCTTCGCCTTCGCTGACGCTCTTTTAACACACACACAAGTCAAAAGTGACACAAGAAGAAAATGAAGAATGTAGTGCGCGAAATTGAGTAATTTGTGCTCTATATGGTTTAAGGAAAACCACCTTGTGGCAGAGAAAAGCTTTGTTAATTCGCACTGTTTACTACTCAAGTTGTAAACCTCTATAGTTGTTAGAATGAACTTATGGGCACACTTTATCTATACTTATACAGTATAATCAGTAACTTGTGCACAACACTCAGTGTCCACTATAATAATCTACAAGATATATTACTGCATATTTAGATAACCTAGCATTAGTCTAAGCGTCTTCCACCGTAACTTATACTCATGTCGACATCCAATAGTCTTTCTAAAGGTCGATCGTTCAACAGAGCCTTGCTCATCACATCCTTCATAAAGCAACATCCATAACTTCACTCACATGTGCGCATCATCATCTTATGGCTTCACATCTGTATATTCTGAGTTCAGGTATGTATACTTCGATGTATACTGTACGATATACTGTTTTCCACTAATCAATCTTTATCTGATGTTCATAACATCGATTCGTTATGTCGTGTGAACATCACATCTGCTCTTATCACATCATCACATTTCATCACTGCCGTGTTATCAGGTAGTTGCACATATAATGCTGTTCTTATATCACGTACTAACCTGTTATATGCTTGTTAATAATCCTCATTCTCCAAAATGTGCCTTCTTCATGTTCAATACCAGAATCTCATATATATTATATTATCACATGTGTGCTTATATTAACCTCAACATCACAAATTATATTCTCATGTATAAATTATATATGCCTAATACCACACTGAAAATTATTTCATATTGGAGTAAACTTCTTCTGAATGGAATGTGGCAGAGTACGATGTGCGCATTACACGCCCCTCCACAGAGACAAGTACCGTAATACGCGTCTCTGTGGATTCTGCACAGTGTTACCTGACTGTAGTATGAACATATATCAGCCCAATGGCATAGAACAATATACATATACAGTCGCCAGCATATCAGAAAATTCAAACATCACTTGTAGAAAACAGCAACACGAAAAATACAACACGTATGTGCCTGACCGCTTTAAGTAATTGTGTTGTGATTTCTTGTGTGACAAACACGACAATTCCGCAATGGTACAAAATGCTGCAGAAATGTGTTTGGACGGACACCTATGTGAAAAAACATCATCATCAAATCACCACAAAAGCACAACAGAAGTTCCTCAGACCCATAAATCAGATATAAAGGGTGACTTACTACTAAAACACGAGATGCACACTGTAAAAACAGACTATAGCCGTCATTGCTATGTACAACATTTAATCTATCAAACATTACTCGTGGGAGGGAACGTTACGAACCCCTCATTACCCCACATAAACTCGGAAATAGAACCACTACCCGCGCATGACAATATCAATATCCGGCACGAGTTATATAGTCGTTTTGCAATCACGTACCGGGACTTCAACAGACGTGTTGCCCAAGTACCACGACCTTACTACAACAATCGGCCCTTCCATGCACCCTTGCGTCAAACAGATCGGGGGAATCCTACTAAACTGGAGGTGTCCTATAGCGGATTCGAGAATAGTGACAACAGCATGCCCGCACTATTGTCGGACAGTAGCGATCGTGAGAACGAGCAATCTCAAGCGCCTTCGAGAAACCTGGACAAGGCGCACGCATACTCGAACAAATGAACAAACGCCTGGGATACCCACATCACCTCGTAGCATTCATAAACGTGCAGCCTACCGCAATGTCCGAGCAAATAAACTAAGAGTCTTCATAGACGATATGACACTGGCAACCAGAGAACAAGGTATGCGAACAAATGTGACTTTGATTTTTTTATCATGTATAAAAGGTGCGGTGCTAATACAAATCGGTGGCCATTCAGGTCAACACAGAAATGTCGCATCGCACATGTATATCTAAGGGGCTATGACCACTGAGTTCTTCTTAGTAACGAATATATATATAAGTAATGTAATAGGTATACTATTAAGATGAGATCATCTGGCGATACCAGTATCCTCATTCATCCAGTTGTCCATCTGCGTCTGGCGTAGTGATTGATTATAACCCATCTGTGTGCACATTCGCAGCTGAGAATGGGAGACACCCGTAGATTTCAAGTATGTCACCAGCTCTGGCAAGAGCTCAAACGAGGTGACAATTGCGGTACACAATGTAGCACAATGTTGCTCCTAGGTAGATCACACAGCTGTTGATATCGTCCCCAAACGGACCGCATCCGTTGGGCCCATTCCTTGGCTGCCTTGGATGTTAAGAAGTACAGGCAAGGCGATTAATATGTGTAGAGTCTGTCTCCTCATACTCATATTTATCCGTGTGGTAGTAATCGATGAAAGCACGATGTATCTTCACTGTCTTATTCTTGTATAACAACACGTGAAGAGTAGTGCTTTCATGTCCAATGGGTTCCGCAGGAGCATACCAGTGGGCACATAGTTTATGATGGCCAATGTCACGCCAAAATCAAACTGTTGTTCCTACTGGGATTTGTGGTGTGTCTCGCCGCGACTTGTCTGCGTTACATTGTTGTGTAAGCCGTCGTCGTGTATACAAACGAGTTGCAATACGGTCTCTGATGACCGCAGGAAGGCCAATATCCTCGACTAGCATAGTACCAATCTTATCCTATAAGGTCAATTGTTTGGACCCATCGTACTACCAGTATGAAGAAAGAAGGGAGAAAAGTCTGTCTGCGGCACGACTGTGGCATTATGGGCTGACGCCGCTGCGTACACATTCGACACCCAGTCATAGTATGTCGATGACTCATTTAGGGGGCCATCCACTCTTCCTGAGTGCGTATAGCCCTCTCTACCCTTTCATTTCATCCATGATGTGCGACTGAAGTAAGATGCACAAACATGCCTTGCTCTAACGTTCCGCAGAAGCATACCAGTGGGCACATAGTTTATGATGGCCAATGTCACGCCAAAATCGAACTGTTGTTCCTACTGGGATTTGTGGTGTGTCCCGCCGCGACTTGTCTGTGTTGCATTGTTGTGTAAGCCGTCGTCGTGTATACAAACGAGTTGCAATACGGTCTCTGATGACCGCAGGAAGGCCAATATCCTCGACTAGCATAGTACCAATCTTAACCTATAAGGTCAATTGTTGGGACCCATCGTACTACCAGTGTAAAGAAAGAAGGGAGAAAAGTCTGTCTGCGGCACGACTGTGGCATTATGAGCTGACGCCGCTGCGTACACATTCGACACCCAGTCATGGTATGTCGATGACTTATTTAGAGGGGCCATCCACTCTTCCTGAGTGCGTATAGCCCTCTCTACCCTTTCATTTCATCCATGATGTGCGACTGAAGTAAGATGTACAAACATGCCTTGCTCTAACGCGAAGTCTTTAAAACCTCTTGCAATCGAATACACTATCCTTGTCAGCAGTAATTTGTTGAGGAAGCCCTCACGGAAACACTTGCTCACGCATGAACTTAATAACTCTCATAGAGGTTTTCATTGCTTGCGTAAAGATGCTAACCACTAATAGTTTATACATCTTATATACTGCTACCAGTACCGAGGATTCGCCAGTAGGAGCCATTGGAATGTCCACGACGTCCAGGCTCCAGTTGGCGGTAATGACCACTGTTCGCTCGGGTTGATGCAACAATCCTAAAGATTCTGGAGGTGGCCTCCCATACTGCTGGCATTGTGCACACACCCTTCCTATCATCCGCAACTGAGGTCGTAGATTGTCCCAACCAAGCACATCTTTGGTCAAGTACTTCAAGCGGGTCTGCGCGGCGTGAGCATACGCCAAGTGGAGGTACTGCAAGGATTTGACAACTTGGGCACCTGTCAGCTCCACACCACACAACTTGCGTGTTGGACATGCCAAAAGAACAGGCCAAGGGTCCGTTGGTAGAGGAATAGCCTTGCGTCGAAGTGCAGAGCCTGCTTCACTACCCGTTTCCGCCGTAGAGGCGACGTTTACTGACACAGCGATGACTGGTATGCCACATGTCTCTACCCTTGCTTACTCTTGTTGGCGTCGTACATATTCTATAAAACATTGCTCAGTCTTAAGTAGTGCTTGATCTAAGCTTGACATTCCCTCCACTTCTATTGGTGGACAAGACCCTATGACTAAAGAAGCAGCTACTTGTCGCGCCCCATTCCTCACAGCTTTGTGATCCATCTGTACCTTAACAGCTAATTGCGTTTGTGATGGCGTACGAGGCACTGTATCCACGACGTCTTCTCCACTAGCCAAGGCTTCGCACTTTCTCCCTATATCGGCACTCAATTGTATCGTCTTGGGCCTAATCTACAGATGAGAGTGACGAAGGACGGTGGCCCCGCATCTTCCCGACCGTGCCTATTGAATACTCCTGCACATTTCGGGATGACTATAGGGTCGTCGGCCAATAAGCCAACCATAATCGAGAACCAACCTGTTCAGGGCCAATATGGACAGACTAACGTGCACCAGGCTTTTCTTCCTTTGCCTTCTGTACTACTGCTGGTAACAGAGTCCAAGGGGGATTAAAGAACCAGTTTACACTGGGGTCGCCCCAGTGTCGTACAAATACCCCCCCCCTTTTAACGTAGGAACACAGTAATTAGGGAGTATCGCATTGCCGGGGAGTGCAAACTCGTCAGCCGTATGTGGCCCCCAACGTTTATCGGCAGCGCGGAAGTATTGAGACGTCAATTGGTATTCTTCTGTGGAAGGCATAGACACCAGGGGATCAGCGAAGTGTACTCGAAGATCCTCACTGCCCCCTCTTAGGCGCAAAATAGGGTCTATGGTGACACACAAACGTGATAACACATCTGCGACCGGACTGACCTCTCCGGGTATGTGAACTATTTCTACGTCGAAGTCGCGTACCACGTTAAAATATCGTCACATTTGTCTGCCTCTCATATCATACACGAATGACTCCCTAGGCTTATAAAATAGTACAACTAACGGTTGGTGATCTGTGTATAAACGTATTACTTTCGTCGTTCGTCTCAGTATCCGTACATTCTTTCGTATTCCATACACCAGGGCCAACGCCTCTTTATCAGAAATGTGACAGGCCTTCTGTGCCCCATCATAACGCGACGAGAAGCTGACTGGAAGAAAGTTACCGTCTCTCAACACAGTAAGTACCCCACCTATCCCCACAGACTCACATGCATCTGCAAACATCACGAGTTGTTCTGTAGGAAGCGGTTCGACCAACACTGCACATTGCCTCAAAAATTCCACAATTTTGTGAAATGCTGCTCGTTGTGGTTCTTCCCATGTGAAAATGCTGTCTTCTTTGAGTAGTATGGCCACAGGTTGTAGTATCCTCGCAAAATTGGGCGCGTACTCAGCCCACCAACGTACTGTATGATACCATGACTTCAGTAGGTCTTTCGATGTTGGTTCACTAAGTTCTAGCAGAGCATGTAGACGCACATCATCCATTGTTGATCCTCTGTAGTCGACCAACCTTCCAATAACCACCACCGGAGTTCTATACTGAGCAACCATATATTTTGACAGTCTTTATTGCACATTATACCGTTGACACCTCTCCATGAACAGCTTGAGACACTACCAGTGTTCCATTGGGTCGTTGTGTGCAAATAATATGTCATCTATATAGCAGACCAGATTATCCAATCCTGCAAATATATCCTCCAACACTTGCTGACACCTCCATGATGCCTCCTTTAACACGAAGGGCATCCCTACAAATGAGTCTCTTCCAAATGGTGTTTTAAAAGACAAGTATTTATGTGACTGAGGCGCCACCCTCAACTGACAGAATGCCTGACCCATATCCATGGTCGTTATATAGTTTTTGTTCTTTAACTTCGACAAATAGCCACGTTCTGTAGGTATATGATTAGGTATAGCTCTGAATTGTGTGTTTACTCTTTTCAAATTGACACAACACCGCCAATCGTCTACCACCACAGGTGTTACCCCCGGTTCTTGTAAATCAGATGGGGAGCTGAGCACCACTCGCTCTTCGTAATCTTCTCTGTGATGCCTGCCTTCAACCAAGCTGATACCTTCATAAATAACGCCTTTCCCCGTACTTCGTCGTTATAAAAGTAGCTTCAATATTGAGGGACAGCATCATCGTTCTCATACAACACTAAGTCTGCTACATTCAGGAATTTGAGATGCATGGCATCGTACGCAACAGCCTCAAAGACGGCTAGTAAAGTGTGTGGTTCTTCTTTTGATGATGCTCACACTCTCTCCGCCAGCTTGTATATACCTACGGTTGCAAGATCTGGGTCCATCGCCTTATCTCAGACCTCGTATTCCTGCTCATCATCCATCCACTCAGATGTACAGTAATTTTCACTAAGCCTAGGCAAAGCATGTGTGACTCCTGATGCACTCTTCCTCATGAGTTCCTCATCTTCCTCACATACTGTAGCCGCTATTATGTATTCCATCGCCAGTATTCGAGCTGAATCCATCAGCTCTTCTTGTGGTACTATCGTCAACACTTGTTTCCTCCAAACTATATGCCAACATAACTCCTGCAGACTTTGTATCCCACCAATAAGTCACAGTTCATGGGTATACCTGTTACCACCAAGCACTTCATATCTATCATTTTCGTGTACGTCTTCCATGATGATACTTGTACGTCTACCACCACCTCACCTATGGGTGTTAGTTTACCCATCTCCGCAATACTTGTACGTCTACCACCACCTCACCTCTGGGTGTTAGTTCACCCATCTCCGCAATTCCGGTATACCTCTCCCCGGAATACGCTGATATTGCTATTTCATGCGTTCTACTAAAGCTGTGGTTATCAGCGTAGGAGTAGCATCCAAATCCAAGTAACTCAATCGTTACTCCATTTACTACAGCTATAGCAATGCTCCCATGTCAGTGTTTGTCAGGTACCACAAACTTTGTGGCACTGGCAGCTACTGTCCCAGCTGACTTCACCAGAGCTAGTGGCAGCTCTTGCTACGCCTCCCGCTGGGTTGGCCCTCAAGGCCGCCGCCACGACCGCCTCTTCCTATTTCTTTTTCTGTGTAAAAGTCAGACTTACCAGACTGACTATCGATGTCAATAAGTTAACGTGAAGGAAGTACGATTTCAAAGTAAATTAGCACTTTGTAATTTTAAGTTTAACTTCAGCCCTTGGTAATGAGACAAAGATTAGGGATGTAAGACTGAGACTTTTGTCTTTGTGGCTCCGCTCTAATCACTCAATATTTCGGTCTAGATTTATTCGGTGTCAGTAACTAAGATCAGATTTAATTTCATTGGATGCATGATATTTCATTCTATATCATTTCATGCCTCGCAACAACCTTCCAATCGCAATTACAAATAAAACAACTCTAAGTCCAACTTAAGAAAAAGAAAAAGAAATAAAAAAACACCATGATGGTACTGTTGAATGTCTGTACCAATACCCCATCACATGGTACCTAGCTCTCAATCCCATTTTTTTTTTGCTTTCAGCAAATTGTTTTGGATCTTATAAGCGGTAGCCCACCGGTTTCATAGGCTATCTCTACTATCGCTTTATCTTACTCTTTCGAATAGCAGGCTAGCACAAAGTTGTGTAGATCAACTTCTACTTATTTTAAGTTTTTCATGACTTGAGACGCAAAGTCTTCGTGCTTAATCATGGGCTGATATGCCAGCTCTGACAATCGGATACTCAAAGCCGGAGCGATTAAGATGATGCCACTGGTTTCCTTTTTCGTGAGGATAGAAGGCTAAAGTTGTCCTTCTTAAAGTTTGATGCTGCAGTGGTCACCTTCTTGCTATTGAGAGCCAATGCCTCGTCATTCATTTTCTTGGCCATTGACGAGTCTTTAGTGATATCTACTGTTGCAGCCGTACCTTCCACGGCTCCTTGGGCAATAGTTGGAGCCACCTTTAAACTTTTTAGACTCCAGTCATCGATACCTTTGATTTCAATACTTTCTCTGAACATGTTGGTCCATGCTTTAAGCAAGATTGTCTTGAATACGTTCTGTTTA